TGACCCCCCGGTGACCCCCAGTGACCCCCTTGTGACCCCGTGACCCCCCGGTGCCCCCCCGGGTGACTCACAGGCCCCCAGGCCATGCTCCGCCCGGCCAGGAAATACCCGCTGAGGGTGCGGCCGCCGCGCCGGCGCAGGGTCTGTGGGGACCAGTAGGGACCAGTATAAACCAGTATGGACCAGTACGGACCAGTATAAACCAGTACAGACCAGTATGGACCAGTACAGACCAGTATGGAGCAGTGTAGAATAGTATGGACCAGTATGGACCAGTAAGGACCAGTATGGACCAGTATGGACCAGTACAGACCAGTATGGACCAGTACGGACCAGTATGGACCAGTATGGACCAGTACAGACCAGTATGGAGCAGTGTAGAATAGTATGGACCAGTAAGGACCAGTATGGAGCAGTGTGGAACAGTACGGACCAGTACGGACCAGTACAGACCAGTATAAACCAGTACAGACCAGTATGGAGCAGTACAGACCAGTATGGACCAGTACGGACCAGTATGGAGCAGTACAGACCAGTATGGACCAGTACGGACCAGTATGGAGCAGTATGGACCAGTATGGACCAGTAAGGAGCAGTACGGACCAGTACAGACCAGTATGGACCAGTATGGACCAGTATGGAGCAGTATGGAGCAGTATGGAGCAGTAAGGAGCAGCATGGACCAGTACGGACCAGTATAAACCAGTACAGGCCAGTATGGACCAGTACGGACCAGTACGGACCAGTAAGGAGCAGTATAGACCAGTAAGGACCAGTACGGACCAGTACGGACCAGTATGGACCAGTACGGACCAGTACGGACCAGTATGGAGCAGTATAGAATAGTATGGACCAGTATGGACCAGTAAGGACCAGTACGGACCAGTATAAACCAGTACAGACCAGTATGGAGCAGTACAGACCAGTATGGACCAGTATGGACCAGTATGGAGCAGTACGGAGCAGTACGGAGCAGTACGGACCAGTATGGACCAGTACGGACCAGTATGGACCAGTACAGACCAGTATGGAGCAGTGTGGAACAGTACGGACCAGTACAGACCAGTATGGAACAGTACAGACCAGTACGGACCAGTATGGACCAGTATGGACCAGTAAGGATCAGTATGGAGCAGTATGGACCAGTACGGACCAGTAAGGACCCGTACGGACCAGTATGGAGCAGTACAGACCAGTATGGACCAGTAAGGACCAGTATGGAGCAGTACAGACCAGTATGGAACAGCACGGACCAGTATGGACCAGTACAGACCAGTAAGGACCAGTACGGACCAGCACGGACCAGTATGGACCAGTATGGACCAGTATGGACCAGTATGGAGCAGTATGGAGCAGTACGGAACAGTACGGACCAGTACAGACCAGTATAAACCAGTACGGACCAGTAAGGAGCAGTATGGACCAGTATGGACCAGTATGGACCAGTATAGACCAGTACGGACCAGTATAGACCAGTATGGACCAGTAAGGACCAGTATGGACCAGTATGGAGCAGTATAAAACAGTACGGACCAGTATGGACCAGTACGGACCAGTAAGGAGCAGTATAGAATAGTATGGACCAGTATGGACCAGTATGGACCAGTATGGACCAGTATGGATCAGTATAAACCAGTATGGACCAGTATGGAGCAGTACGGACCAGTACGGACCAGTATGGAGCAGTAAGGACCAGTACGGACCAGTATGGAGCAGTATGGACCAGTACGGACCAGTACGGACCAGTATGGACCAGTAAGGAGCAGTATGGACCAGTACGGACCAGTAAGGACCAGTACGGACCAGTATGGAGCAGTATGGACCAGTAAGGACCAGTATGGACCAGTATGGACCAGTACAGACCGGTATGGACCAGTATAAACCAGTATAAACCAGTATGGACCAGTATGGACCAGTACAGACCAGTACGGACCAGTATGGACCAGTATAAACCAGTATG